TCAGGGTCAGGACCACAGGCATAACTCGGGACCTGGAAAGAACAGTACAACACTTTTACATCCATGACGTTGCCTTTTTGTACCAAGCGTAGATCCACCATTGGTTTAAAGCAGAGTTTCAAATGCAATTTTAAGGGAACTTTTACTGCAACGGTAGCAGTCTGATCTGGATTACAGTCTCTCTGTACTTTTTCTTTAAGATATTCACGTAGACTCAGCTACACTTCAAAATGAAATATTTCACGTTATTCCCTGAACTTTTACAAGACAATAAAAACCTCAGACATTTTGTATCCAGCCCTAATTCTGAGTTTCTGCTGCACAGTGTTGTTAATAAAGCATGAGGTTTCTATGCAACTTTGAGGCATGTACACTAAAAGAAATTGCCCATATATTAATTTAATTACTTATGCCTTATTCTTTAAGAGTATCTCATTCCATTCCATTCAAAGCTGGTTTTAAAGCTTAATCCTAATTACTCTTATAAGGCAAGTTTTGAAAGCCTGTATACCAATCTCTTATGATTTACATTTCAGAAGCAGCACAACTTTGGGAAAACTGGTAGAAAACTAAATACTTCTGTTTCTTACTACCTTCGTAGGAGCTTTCCTCCTTTATGAGCTGTAAAAGCCTTTAATCATGCGACTTCATAGGCTGTTTTTACACCATATAGTCAGCAGAGAGCTGATTTGAGGCGATGATTCCCTGTGTGCCTAAGCGCTGGTGCAGTAGCTTCACCACGTCACGGCTCCCGAAGGAGAGGCATTTAGTCACCGCTGCCCACAAGGGAAGTGACTCATCCCTCATCTTTCACAAATGACATATACTGGACAAGAAGTACACCGCCTATCCCCACAGCGAGGATGGCTCTAGAGACCTGAGCACAGGACAGAATATATATTTCACGCTGTAAACAATTCAGATGACAGCAGTCACATCCATTATAGAAAAAGCAACAGAAAGAAAGCTAGAGCGACGTGTTACACAGAACGAAGCCTCCAGCAACAAGCTGTCTCAGATGAGTCTATAGAGAGTGGAGTAGCTACTTTTTTTAGAGTCTACACAGAACAAAGCCTCCAGCAACAAGCTGTCTCAGATGAGGCTATAGAGAGTGGAGTAGCTACTTTTGTTAGAGTCACCTTTTTCCTTCCATGAGAGTTACTTTGCCTGTTAAAATGTCATCCTTGTTTTTGCTGCTTTATTACAAGTATTTGGCTATAAATACCTCCTCTATGAATGCTACTGTATGCTCGAGCGGTGTTTGAGACAGTTTCCCAAACTGAAGGTTCTTTCTGTTCTCCATTCCAAGGTTCTGTGGTCTTCCTCCTAGCACTGACAGCTTTCTGCATCACCTCACGCAGCACCTGAAGCGAGTAAGATGCAGGTTATGGGTTTGACAATGTCACTGTTGCGCTACTGTTTAGACAGAATGAAGAAGATGAGGAGAGGCTCTGCTGCCCATCAGAGCTCTCCAACATCACAGAGGCCAAAATCTCAGCATGTTTTGTTGGGACTGAGTGGAGACAGCAAGGTACACATGAACAGGCAAGTTGCAAATTCAAAGAATGTTTTCCAGAACACCTATACTACATGAACATGCATATATGCCTTAGTCTTCCTCCTAAACCTGCTTTTCCAGTTTCCCTAGGGACATACATTGACCTTTTCCAAGCCTTTGGGCTTGGAAATATGACCATGCAAATCACCTTGTGAAAACTATTCCTGGATGCTCCACACCACCTTTTGTCAGTACCATATTTCACTATACATAATTGCATTTAGTCATCTATATTCTCTGCTCTGCCAAAAAGCCGTATATTCTCATCTTCCAGAGAGCCTGCTTTGTAGCTAACAGATACAGGAGCAGGGTCACGCTTCCAGACACCAGTGAGGTTCCAGTTTAGGACGTTAGATGAGACTGCCACAGACCTAACTCTCTTCAACTCTGTACATGTGACTCCTTCTTAAGTTAGTGGGAACCAAAAGAATATTTCCGATGGCATAATCTCACCATAAATTATGTATTCATGTCCAAAAATAAACTAACTCTTCACAATCTTGTTTGCCAGAGCTCTGTATTTCATGACTTGGCAGCTGTGCAAGTTACTGTGAATTTCACTGCTTGCTCAGAAATACAGAATCTGAATTTTCATTGAAGCAAAGTACTTTTAACCTACCTGAAAAAGCTAAAAGCCGTAACTGAGTACAGGCTGAACTGGCTGTAGCCTGGGACCTTGCCACATCAACAAGCACATAGAGTATTAAGTGACCCTAATTAGGGGTTAGTAGTTAGGTTGTAGCCCACTGAATGCCACCACGCAGAGAGGTGAGAGGGACTGAGGCAGCTCCTCAGCAGAGGAATAATCCCCCCCGAGAAGGTCAGCATGCTCCTGGCATCAATCAGCAACAAGAGGTAAGAAACAGCAAGAATCCTGGCCATAGCACACGCATAACTCACTGGTAGAAGGAGAGGGGACAGAAGAGGAGCCATGCTATGCACAACTGAAGTTTTTGCAGATTTTTCCGGTCCGGCACTACATTCATGGAAACAACTCATTTGCCACAGAGCATTTTAACTGGGACCAAGCTTTACACAGTTCTCATCGCTGTAGTTCCCAACACAGATGCCACAGAGCCAGTACAGTGGAGGAGCAATCAATGACCTTTGTCAAAATAAATGGCACAGAAGATCTTCAAACCAACACACAATCAAGGGAGAAGAAGGAAGGAGAGGACAGGGAGGAAGATTGCCACTGCAGAGCATCAGCTTTCCTACCCCTTGGTTTCTATCACAAAGTAAAGCTACTCTTAAACCGTATTCAGCTTATTTTGAGAAGAGACCCAAGTGCAGCCTCGCAGTGATGCAAGTAGGAGTTACATGAACAGTTAATTTTTGAGCCTTCTGGTCAAACCAAGAATCTGGAATCGGCTCGAGGTTTTGTCTACCCACCCAATAGCAAGAACAGAACAACTTTTTTTTTTTGCTGAAACTAAATTTCATTGAGAGGCAACATTCTCACCGTCTTTGCTGCTGGTCGCTACAGACTTTCACAACAACACAGCCCTCGGCATTATAA